ATACACACACACACATATACACATACACATTTGGTAAGTGTGACACATCATAGACCAGACAAATGCCTAGCAGTGAGTCCTAGAATTAGGCGTAGTTACCCACCTTGCCTTGGGAAGCCCTGGACGATGGCCAGATTGTCCCATTTTTAACAGGATCACAAGAGGAGACAGAGGAGCCAGGGACTGGGTCACACACACATAGTTTCTCCCTCAAAGGTTACACATCAGAAACTTGAGGACCACTGAGGCCAGGTGTGTTTTACTAGCTCAGTTGCCCCCACAAAAAGAAGGCATTGGGCATCGGGAAGATAAAGAAGTATGTCCCTTAACAAGGAGCCTCAGAAAGCACCAAAGGGTGGCCCGTGGTCAAAGGAACTCAGTGGCCTCTTTACCACTAAAGCGGGAAGCTTTGGCTCTAGGGTATCCAAAAAAGCAGGCGAAGCAGGGCATCGAGGGCTCAGGTGGTAAGCAACAGAAAGAAATCAGGTGCACCCCCAAATACTTGAGAAGAATCTCCCCAATCTCTTCTGAAGGGTAGAAACCGAGGGAAAACTTCCTAAATCAGTCTACAAGACTAGCATTGCCCTAACATGAAAACCAAAGGCATCACAAGCAGAGGAAACTACAGACCATTGTGTCTCATGAACATAGATGCAAAACCCTCAAATAGTCCCAAATTGCATTTAGAAATGTATAAAAACAACTACATACCATAATCAAGTAGAATTTTATCCCAGGTGAGCAAAGCCGTCTCAACTTTCAAAAATCTATTGATGTCATCCATAAAGATCTATTAAAACAATAAAATAAATATATACTTGCAATTTCCCCCAAATTAACATCATCCATCACTCCAGTAGACTAATAAAAAAAAATCACACAGTCAAATGAACAGGTGCTATTTGTTTACCGATAACTGTGCTTCTCAGCATTTATCCGAAGGAGCTGAAGACTTCCGTACAGTGGGAAACCTGAGCACGGATATTTGTAGCGGCTTGGCTCATAACTGTGAAAACTTAGAAGCAATCGAGATAGCTTCTGAAGATGAATAAAAAATACAGTGTGGTAATCCAAACACGGGAGTTATTCAGCAGCAAAAAGAAATGAGCCATCAAGCTACAAAAGGTCCCGCTCCACGATACTCTGGTTACCAGTGGGGAGGCGTCACGAGCCAGAGCTGCGAGAGGCTGGGGTGGGTCGGCAGGGAAGACACTCATGATGCCCTCCTAATGGGGACAGAGACTGGTCGGAACCCGGGGACGCGACACCACCACAGCTGATCCCAGGGTGGGCTGCGGGCTTCAGTGACCATGCTGTGTCCCAGCAGGCTGATCAGTTGTAAAGAGAGTCCCTGTCTGGCAGGGCGTGTGGATGACCAGGAGGCCGTGCATGCGTCTGGTCAGTGCTGGCCTGGTTTGCAGGAGTAGGGACCTCTGTCTTCTCAGTTTAAAAGAGATCAGGTCAAATAGAGGGACAAAGAAATCTATGGCGCTTGAATTTTGGAGAGAGGAAGTGTCAAGGAGTCCTGTTATTAACTTAGTCAACCGTCTGTGACCGAGGTCGGTCTCTGGATCAAGGTGAGGGCTCTCCCTCCACAGCTAATTAGGTTAGTTTTTATTTTCCAGCTTCCTAACAGCCTGAGAGGGGGTCCAGGTTCCCAGTGGACTTCATCCCTTCTGAACAGGAGGATTCCAGCTCCCGCTAAGAGAACACTGAGATAATGCTAGGTGTATAAATATCGCATTAATTCAGACAGGACAGATTTATCGCTCAAGATTACTTTCTGTGTTTCATTACATGTACACATGCCGCAAGGGAAGTTTTAACTTTCCACGAATCTTTCAATTGAAAAGATGAATATTAGTCTATTCTCTGGTTGTATGCACCTCTGAAAAATACTGCCACAGGATCCGTGGCAGCATTTCAGTATAATTTTTCAAACCTCACCGTAAGATATCATCAGTTTCTTTCTCTGACAGTGTAAAAAAATGATCAGCAAAAACATTGAAGAATTTCTTTGCAGTTTGGTCCTTTAAAAAAACTTAAGTATTTTGTCCTGAACCTTAAAAAGGATAATCCTTCAATGCTGAAATGATAGATTGTTTATTCAATTTTGAAATATACCAATTAATTCTAAGTAATTGAAGTAATCAAGTCCCAGAGAAATGTTCTCTTTTTATCCCTAACTTTCAAAGTACAAACATTTTGTTGTTGTTGCTGTTTTAAAATCACTGTGCGTTAGCACAACGTGAGTAGAGTTTTGCGTTCACCGACCATTTTTTAACACATCTCACTGCAAAGATGCACATATACTGGTAAAATTTCACCATGGTAAAATTTGGGGTTTTCTCCAACTTGGATCAAGATTGTCAAGCATATTGTCAATTATGGGTTATTCTCTGTGAATAAAAATATTTGAAAAACACTCTGTGTGCACTGTTGATATGGATCCCAGTAGCTCTTATGTTGCCTTTGTGGCTCACAAAATTATTTTAATTTTAATTTGAAAAGATTTATCTGATGTTGCAAGCTTTCCTTCAGTGATAAAAAAAAATCATCAAACACATCTGTCATATGGCACTGTTCATATTACATATCTGTGGTTTTATCCAAACGTAAAGCAAAAGATGCTAGAGATTTATGCTTAGTGATTTCTCTTTACAGTCTTGTCATTGCTAATATAGAACATACCAAAGTGCTTCTTGATTCAGGAATTCTCAGAAGGGTTATGATGATCCGTACACATTTTGAGTAACAACTCTGTACTTCTGGACCCTTCTCTACACTTAGATATAAAATTCACGCAATATACTAGAAAGTGCTATTCAGTGCAAGGCCTACACCTAGACCGTGGCTGGATTTCCAGAGAGGTTGCTATCTCATGTAAAAATGCCACGATTCTCCGGCTGCACCACTGATTGCAAAGTTTTAAGATGGAAGCAAATGTACTGAGATTTCATAAAATTCATTTTCAGATACTTGTTACTATTTTCTTATACTTTTTCATTTTTTGGCTGAAGATTTGCTTTTCACTCTACATTATATGGAGAATTTTCCACAGCTTATATTTATAACATCATTACCATTTTCATTACTTTTATGTTTCAAATAATGACTTTGAACCAGTGGTATCGTTAAAAAGGATATTTTGTAACATAACAATATAGTAACATTAAAAATAAAAAATTTAGTGACAAAACAATTCCACAGCTTATGTAAATGACAGGAAGTATACAATGGCTTTGTGGTATACATAAATGTTTGAGAATGTAATGTTTTAAGAAACAATGGGAGTTCTATAAAAATATAAATAATTCTAATCAAGTTCAAATGCATGAACAAAATTGTTCCTTGCTGCCGTCTCTGCTGCTGTGAACTAACTACCTGCTCACCGCGGACTGCTCAGGTTGGTAGAGCGCTCTCAGCACCCAGAGGGAGGAGGCCGTAGCCAGGAGGGCGGAAGCTGCGGCAGATGTGGCCAGCAGCCTTCTTGGGGATACTCGTGAGGGGGGCAAAAGAAGAGTCCCCAAAGAGACTTTCTGTGTGACCAGAAATCCAAGTGCAGGAATTAGCATCTAGAATTGCAGTACACCACAGGCTACATTCATAGTCACGGCTAGGCACAGATTTTTAATAAAGCAGTGGTAGCAGGAATAACTTGCCAGATCATCACAGAGTATTAGCAAAGATTTTCAGCCTCTGCATGCTTCTCCATACCCTTTGCATTGTTCGGTCCAAAAGGGGGTCGTTCTTATCTTACTTTAAGTGGGGTGACAGCGCTGAGTTTGCCTAATTAGGAATTGGATATGAAGCGGGGAGTTGCTTCGATCCCAGAAAACTGAATTCTCAGGCAATTCACAGAAAAGATTATATGGAAATATTGTTCCCTTATTAATAGTGAGAGACACACACCTTAAAACCACCATGATCCACCTGTCACACTGATCTGGTTTCAAACACCAGCAACCCCACGGCACTAACAGTTGACACACTTAAGTGACTCATCCCTGGGACCAGCACAAATCAGCTGCTTTGGAAGTCCGGAGGAATACGTCCTAAGGGGAAAGTGGGGCTATTTCTGACCCTGTGCTGTTACTGGGCACACACCCTCCCCGATCCTAGGACGAGCAGAAAAGGAACCCCATGCACCACGGCCTTAGCTCCCAGTTCAAATACATGCAGCCACACCCACCTGCTTTTCATTCCTAATATGGCTCAGTGTTTCTTCTGTGTGTGTGTGTGTGTGTGTGTGTGTGTGTGATTGGGCTTGCTAATGTTGTTTAATTTATTAGTCTTTGGGAGATAACTGATTTGATCTTATCGCTATTTAAAATTTCATTCATTTTGACTTTCACCCTTACTACTTTTGTTCTTTCCCTTTCAGGGTTCTTCTCCATTTCTCTTTCATCTCCTTGAGTGCACCTGCTTCCAAAACTATTTTCAGTGCCCCTTGCTTCTCAGTTTGTGAGCTTTGAGTCTACGAATCTCCTGTGCAGCTACCTCAGTGGTGTCATAGGCTTTTTTTTTGTTGTTGTTGTTGTTGTTTGTTTTTTGTTTTTTTGAGACAGGGTCTCACTATGTAGTTGAGACTGACCTGAAACTCACTATGTAGCTCAGGCTGGTCTCAAACTCACAGTGATCCTCCTGCCTCAGCCTCCTGAGTGCTGGGATTACAGGCGTGAGCCACCACGCCCAGCCTGTCCTAGGCTTCTGAGTGCCCTGGATTCGTTGTTATATGAAGAATCCCACACAGTGACTTCTAATTCTATAATGGTCATTCTTCTCCAATCATGACTTGTAGTGTCTGTGTTCAGTTAACAAGTGAGTGTACCCTTAGATTGAGTGAGCCTTTTGTAGCTTTACTATAGATTTCTGAGTTTAGGGCATTAAGAGTACTTGTTCTTTGGTATTAGCTAAGGGCTCTGGAGTCACTGTTTTCGATGGCTTCCTCCCAACTGGAAACCAAGTATAGGCTCCATGGTGGTGAGTTTCTCCGTTAGCTCGAGTCTGACCTGTGGGTTCTTCAACGTCCTTCGCACTGTTTCCTCTGCTCAACCCATTTCTGAGAGAGACATCTGCATGTTGCTCTCTCTGACTAGGAGTTGTCCCTTTTCCTTTTAACCATGTTGAGTTTTTGCTGTACATAATTTGAAGTTCTTTGCCCAGCCACTTGCGGGTTCAAGGTATATTTTGGAACTTCTCCTATGCCTCTGACTTCTAGTTCATATTTTCTCTCCATCTTTTTGTTGCATTCTCAGTAATTTTACCACTCATTCCTTCTCTCTTTAGCTGTATCTAGTTTGATTTTAATCCAACCACTGAATTTTTAAAATTTTTCATGTCTGTATATTTTATTTCTTAAAGTTCTACTGGTCGCTATTTTAAAGCTTAAAACAGTTCTTCTGTTGCCCATTTATTAGCATTTATTGTTGCTTTATTAGTTTTCAGTATACTTACAGCTCTTCAGATTTACGATACTAGTTCCGCCTGTGGGGAAGAGGCCATTCTACTGTCACATTCCTCAAACTCCTCCTCATCTCGTGCATTTTGTATTTTTTGTGAATTCAGCTTTGTCAGGATCTAGTCATACTGCTTTCTCGTTTGGGGTCAGGAGAGAACACAGCCTCTATGTGGAGAACATTTCTTCAGGGTGGTTTGCATTCATGTCTCTATGGACCCTGGGGTTTCAGTCATGTTGGACTCATGTTATTTGTGGGCTCTCCACTAGGGCTTCTCACCGTGCAGATAGTATATTATTTAGTTTAGTATCTCATGAATGTCTTTGTTCCCTCCTCCTTTCCTGCCACTAGATCTGGAGGGATAGCTGTGGGATCCTGGACATGTTTTTGTCAGCAGCTTCGCTGTCTGTGCAGCAGGTCAGGCCTTACTTCCTTAGCTCTACGGGGACTCAGGAGGAACGATTTGTTAAATGTTGGACTAGAAGGTTATTACAGTCCACCTCTTCTCACCGCAGTGACTTCTGCTGTATTGTTTCACTTTTGTCCATGCCCACTGTCTTGGTTGACAGTGAGATGCTGGTGGTTCAGTGGTCGTGAAGCTCTGAGCTTTACATCTCAGATTCTCAATGACAGGCTGGACACTGCTGCTGGAGGAAGCACAGGAGGCTTATCAAAGCCTCTCTTCCCGGGCTTGGGACAGACTTGTCTCTGCGAACACTGGGCAGTGGTCAGGCCTGCTCCCTCCCTGTAGTCTCCTCCTGTCTTGGGATTCAGCCAGGCCTGGTGCCTTGTGAGAAGGAGTGGCAGTCACGGCCACCAGCCTGTTGGTGACTGATTATGGTTGCTTGATCTCAGCTGCAGCAAGAGGGCAGAAGTTGTTTGTGCACAACGTCTACGTCCAGCTGAGAACAAGTCTGAAACCAGGCTGCGAAGGAGCAGGGAGATTCTCATAGCAGCAACGGGTGGTGGGGGTGTCTTGTACACAGGGCAGCACTTTGTAAAGCAGCTACGGGGAGACTTACAAGGAATACGTGCATATACACACGCACAGGTGTGCACACTTCCTGGAGTTCACGGGACGTGAACTTCTCCTCACTGCTGCCTGCTCACAGGTCTCCCCTAGGAAACGATCCTGCTAAGCCCTGGCCGCCCTGGAAAGAGTGAGAACACAAATGAGCTGCAGGAACCCAGGACTCAGAGCCACCCCAATCGGAAGCTCTGCAGAGGCTTCCAGCACTGGCGAGGCCTGCGTGACGATGGCTCAGAAATCCCAGGAGGCTCCAGAAAGATGGGCCTGCATGTCACCTGCTTGTGTCTCCGCCATCCTGGGTGCGATCCCTGAGTTCTGAGAGTGTGGCCCATAGGTCACACGCCTGGGAGACACAGCCCTCTCATCTTCCACTCTCCTTTGGAATGGTTTTTGTCCTCTTTCTGCCCTGCTTCGCACACCTGCCCCGGCTCCGGGGTGAGCTGAGCGGCCTGAGATCTGTGGTCGGCAGCATGGGTCAGGGCCGAGGCTGTCCTCACATCAGAGGAAGAGCAGACGCCCAGAGCTCCTCTCTGGTTCCTCTGCTGGTTCCCAGGCTGCTCAACTGGATGTGGCTCAGGTTCTGCGTGCGAGGCGTCCGCTGGTGTGGACAGAGCTCAGCCCGTGCTTTCCTCAATCACGAAACCTCTGGCATTTGGACAACAGCACCAACCCTCAGGACCGGCCACTGGGAGCCATCTGCTCAGCAGGCAGAGAAACAGCTGCCCAGGAGGGGTGGCTGTGGGAACCCTGACCTCTGCTCCCTCGTCTGTGAGCCAGGAACCTACAGCCTTCGGGGTGCCGGCCCAGTTCCTGGGTGCATCCTCAAGGGGGGGGGTCTGTAGTCATGAAGTCGCCCCGTGTAGGTGCTCCCGGAGGCTGAGGTCACAGCAAGAGTCATTGTAATAGCAAAAGGAAAAGCCAAGCGGCTGGAGCGGCGAGATGTGGTCGCCTCAGGTCATGGAAACCCGGCAGCCAGAGCACAGGGGCCTGGAGTCTGGTGCGAATCTGAGGAGACTGAGAGAACCTGGGGGGTTTCTGATCCTCTGCATCTCTTCGGGTAGATGCTCTTCCCATCCCTCCAACACCGTAAGTCAGAGAGTAGCTGCCCCCCCTTTGCTCTGTGTGATTTAAATGCTAATAAAAATGATGGCAACCCATGGAACTTCTACTAAGCATATTCTGTGCATCAGATACATTTCCATTTTACACATTTTGCTTCATTACATTCTCACAAGTAGCCTATAAACTGTGTCTTAAATTTATTCCTACACTGAGGCGTGAAGAAACTCAGTGTCTTACCCAGGGTTTCGGGGCTATGGGGTCAGAAGGGGAACTGAGGACGCCGGGCTCAGGGCTGTGGCCCCTGCTGCTGCACTGTGACAGTGTCAGCTCGGACTGACGCACTGTGCCAGGCCCTAGCAACAAAGCAAAATAAGGTGAAATTGGGGGGTCTTGAAGATGAGGATCCTGCACTCACACCTGACAGCAAGAACTACCACGAAAGTCTCTGCTAAAATCACAGACCTACACAAAGGCCACTCCGACCTTACACAGCAATGCTTCTGCAAGGACACCTGTCCAGCCACCGGCCGCTTAATCTTGGGCAGACTCAATCTTGCTATTGCTTCTGGTAGCCAAGAATTTGTTGTTAGAACAAATCTGATGCAGCCCTCCTGGTTTTACCGTAGAAAACCTCCCTTGGTCTCTCTTGGATGCACACATGGTTACCAGGGCCTGCCTGCTCCCAGATAAATTTAATTTTGGAGAAATTCAATTTCATTGACCTTGTTCTAATGAAAATCACCACAACCTGGAGGTTAGGGCAGCTGGCTTGGATGATGGAGAAGACTGATGTTTCATGGCTGTCTTGGTCACTTTTCTTGTTACTGAGACAAAACACCTGACAGCCAGCGTTAAAGGAGGAAGGTTTACTTAGCTCACCGTTTGTAGAGGCTTCAGTCCACAGTCGGCTGGCTCCACAGCAGGGTGGTTCGACAGAAGGGATCACGGGGAACCAGTCCAAGGAGGGCAGAAGGCAGGAGGCAGGGAAGTAAAGTGAAAAGTGGCAGCAGCAGCCCTTTCTGCCCTTGTAATCTGTCCAGGCTACTCGCCCTTGGGCCCTAGCAGCCACCCCAAGGCTGAGGGTGGGCCTCCCTGCTAGCCACACCCAGAGCTATGCCAAGCCAATCACACACCGATTCCGGCACCAGGCAATCCAGACACAGCAGGCTCTGAAAAAGCCCCACCTGTGACTGCACGAGGCTTGGGGCCTGGCACTATCGACACAGCTGAATGCTGAGACGTAGGGAGTTAGGGTTGGCTTTTGCTTATTCAGCCAGTCGACTAATAAACCAATAGTCAACCAGTACTCGTTTCACATGTAGTTCTTAAAACGTGACTTGGTCTCAAGGCTCGGTAAGCAGCGCAGCTGTTAGGGGAGAGTAAATTCGGGAAGTAATGAAGGTGACATTGGAGAGGTTATGGAGCGGTGACGGTAAAAAAGCTGGGTCCTGGACAGGGCGGGGAGCTGCTGCCCCCTCCCCGCAGGCACCTCCTCTTGCACAGCACATTAGTGTTCCTGCTGCTTCTGTGCCTTGTGAGCAAGGTGAACCCAGAGTCCTCCCTACCGGGCTCAGGCCTGCGGCAGAGCGCAGGGGACTCTGTTAAATGCTCTTCCCGCCTCTCGCTGCACCCCAGACCCAGTCATCCCCGTGCGGCTGTAGGTCCCCGGCACTTGTAGAAACGCCGCCCAAGTCCTGTCCTGAGGACCAGGGCAGCCTCATCTCTCGTCCGGCCTGAATTTCCTATCTTGTTTCCAGCTTTTAGGCTTTCTTTTATTCCTTTTGAGTTTAGCAGGAAGGCAGGGCTACTATAGCGCAGAGAAAGGGCAGGTATGGAAGACTATTGCATTTTCTGATGCTAACCAGCGCTGGCTCTAAGAAGGCCCTGCAGCTTGAACTGGGCCTGCCACGTAGCACGTCGCCATGATGCTCACCTCCCTGCGCAGTGTTGAAGGATTTCCAGGTTGACCTCAGTAGCAGCAGCCTCACTCTGACTTGGAGGAGGTGGACTAGACACAGAAATGTGCTAGGCAAATGTTCTCCTTGTAGAGGGATTTCCTGACCATGTCCCAGTCACAGTAAAGATGCATTTCCTTGTTTCAGTCAAAGAAACTTAATTTAAATTGTGCCTGAGCTATAATTGTTTTTCATCTCTAACGCAGCGCCTGCCGTGCTTGGCACACGAGAGCGGTCACTGTAAGAACCAGCATGCACCCTCGTGACAGCAGAGCTCTGAACGGCTCCTGCACGTAATTCCGCTTTACCTCGACGGCGAGGATGGGGCACAGTGAGGTTCCGGCACTTCTCGATGGTCACACAGGTCTGGAGCCAGATTGGGCTCGTCCTTCTAGCCATTTCGATATATCTTATACATTGTCCTCACGAGAGTCTCTCCAAAGAATTGATCTGAATGGTATACAACTGAGCCTGCATTGAAACACTACCAGACATCCCACAAAAATATGTCATTTCTGTGTGTCGATTAAAAATAAATGGAAGGATGAGGGGAAAGACGGGGAGGGGCTCCTGCTCCCTAAGCCTGGAAACCAATGCCCTGAGCAACTGTCCTGACTCATTTCCACCGCTGGACTCTCAGTCCGAGCCCATGGCCTAGGTCTCCCAGCTCCCTGTCCTGTCACGGAGAAGCGTCACCCCTCTTTGCCAGTGCCAGGCCTGCAAGCTGGCTGGGACGCTACTCTCCTGGGTCCAGGGTTGGATCCAGGGTTCCAGTCATGACAGAACCTAGAGCCAGGCTTCAGATGTGCGGTGTACACACCCGTTGGGCAGGGCGAGGGGACCGCGCTGTCTCCGTGGTGAGGATACTGTGGCTTATTCGGGGAAGAACAAAGCTTCTCTTTAGTTTTGTTACCAGATACATTTAAAGAAACAGCTGAGTCCATTTAAAGAGTAGCAAGAAGGCAGCAGGAGCAGCAGAATGCAAGGATGGGGCCTCTGGCTCAGGGTGGAGCACGCTGCGCACCCTCAGGCATCGACTCACTCATCCGTTCTGGGAGACCTGCGAGCCCTTGGCGTGTGCCACTCGCTGGTGCTTGTAATTCCAAAATGCACGTCTCACAGGCCACGGTCCTGAATGCTGAGCCACAAAAGAGCAAAGTCCCTGAAGTCTAAAATTCCCACAGTCTAAAATCCCCCGAATCACAACCCTGGAAGACTGAAATCCTCAATGTTGAAATTCTGGAAAACCACAAATTCCCCCGGGGACAGAGAGCTGGAGAGGAGGGGAAGAGAGCTGACCGCAGAGAGGCTGGGCCTGAGATAAGGAAAAGTGAAAAACCCAGGCGAAGAAAGCCCTGCTATTCTCCGCGGTGATGTGCCTTCCAGCCAGTGCAATGCCAGGGGCCTTTATGGGATTGGAATAGTTCTGTGCATGGCGCTGACAATCTGGTCTGAGCAGTCTGCACTGGAGGGAGGTGGGGCAGATCCCCATGTGCCCAGGAGGAAATGCAAGAGGGAACCCTCGTTAGGGGAGAGAGAGAGAGAGAGAGAGAGAGAGAGAGAGAGAGAGAGAGAGAGAGAGGACAGAGTGGAGAGAGAGCGGAAGAGAGCAGACCTTGTAGAGAGAATGCAGGTGTAGTCTTCAAGAAGTCCCAGGAAAAGCCACTGTGCATCCTGTATGAGACTCGAAACAGCTGATGATTCTGAGTGTCACTGGCCGGCTGTCAGGACCAGCTCCGCACCATCCCTGTGGCTCCTTTTCATGTCAGATTTTCTTCTTAGGGCTTTTCATTTTCCCAGTTTTCCTCCAGCACTTAAAACTGTCAGACTGACTGATTGGTTGATTGCGCTGTGGATTGAACCCTGGCCTCCTCCCTGAACAACATCTCCTGCCCTTTTAATTTTTTTTTTTGGGGGGGGACAGGGTCTTGCTAAACTGCTACACTGTTAAGGCTGAGCTCAAATTTATGACCCTCCTGCCTCAGCCTCCCAGATGTGCCACTGTGCCTGGCTAGCCCTTTTTTCTTTATGAATACAATTGTTTGCTCTGAACTGTTCTACCCATGTGACTGCTGTTAGTGTACCTAAGGTTTATGCTTGCAAAATCGTACATCATTGCTGTCTGTTTTCTCGTGTGATGTGGCCCATGAAGTGTTCTGTTTGATTTTATGTGTGTCAAGTAAGTTGTCTTTTAAAGAATTTTAAAATGTTTTTTTCCAGAATGATACTTTGGGACTTTGATCCTCTAGTGCTGTGGACTTCAGGGATGTCTGCATTGTGAGTGCTGGCCTCTGGACCTGGTGTGGGTGGTGGCCCGCCTGCCCGCCCACTGTGCAGGGTCACGGTGGGGGCATAGGGAGCCATGGCGGGGCTGTGGGAGCGTCTGGGAGAGGCTGCAGACAGTGACGGGCCGTCCAGCAAGTCTAGGGCCGCACGGCCCTGAGAAGGCACCCTGTGGGCAGTGACGGGGGGCAGATGGGACAGTGGTGAGGCCCCTCTGTGACCCCGAGGGCTGGGCTTAGTGAGAGCTGCTCCTGTCAGATGAGGGCAAGACAGGCTCGGCCCGGGGCGCCCCTCCTCCCCGGGACAGGGCAGGGCACAGTGGGCGCGGGCTGAGGACGGTGGGTGTCACTCGCCTATCTCCTGCGGTGGATGTGGGTGGAGGTTCTGTTCTGTCCAAATTGGGAGCAGGATGGGGGCTTCCATGGAGGGTGGGGGTGCAGGGGTCCTGGGCGCCCGCACACCCACTCCCCATGTCCTGCCCTTCTGTCTGGGTGCCCACATCACGTTCTGCCGAGTTCTACTCTTGGCTCTGCTCCGCCCCTTTCATTCCCATCAGGGTTTCAGAGTGAAAACAGAAGCCTCTTTCTGCCCTTGCCAGATGGGCAGGGGTGGGCAGACGAGACGGCAATTCCGTGGCGGTCGCAGATGTGGCTCAAGGAAGGGGTCGCCCGTGGGAGAGGGTCTCGCTTGTTTATTTGCCCAACAGCAGCTGGGCTCTGCACACGCACGGCTCTCTAAGCAGGATGGGGAGAGGAGCGGCAGGAAGGTGGACCGGTTTGGGGGTCTCTGCAGGGGTAGGGATCACCTTGCCCCCGGAGAGGGCCAGGATGGAGGCACCTCTGCATCTGAAGCAGGGTCCTGGGGTCACTGCAACAAACGGCCCTAAACCCAGAGGCTAAAACCGCAGAGATTAATGTCTCCTCGCTCTGGAGGACAAAGCCTCGGTGACAGAGTCAGCAGGGCCGGCCCGGGAGCTGCCGCCTCCTGGTGGCTTCAGGTGTTATTGGCTCCTGGCTGCTCCGTCCTTGCTTCGTACCCAACCCCTACTCCCCTCTTCTCAGTGTCCCCCTTCCTTCTCTCACAGGGACAATCGCTACTGGCCTTGGGGCCCTCTGCCATCTACATCACAAGGGTCCTTTCTCCAGAGCCAGTTAGGAGCGCATTGGGGTTAAGAGGACGTGGACATTCTGGGGCAAAATGTCCAACACCCCACGAATGAAAACATGCAGAGTCCACGCGCTCCCTAGCGTCCTTCCCTTTCAGCGTGCAGACCCCGGCCATGCTGCTGACCCCGCCTGAGGCCTCTGGCCCGGGCCACAGCAAGGTCCAAGCTGTGCACCGGCACCAGCTGCCCCCTTCCCTTTTCTTAGATGTATTATTAGTGTGATTCCTGAAACAGTTCCTTCCTTTGCCACGCATTCCTCGGGCTGGCTAGAACCAAGCTGTAGAGAGAGAAAGGCGTCACACTCTGGGGCCAGCAAGGGAAGAGGACAGAGAGGAGCATGGGGCAAAACGGCAGCAGAGTGGGGCGTCCTCTCTAAGGGGCAGCCGGGGTATGCTGAGCGGGGCCTTGGTGCTCTTGTTGTATCCCAGAAACGTCTTTTTCCCTTCTGAAGTCTTTGCCGAAGCCTCAGCGGGCTCACAAAGGGCTGGCAGACGTGGCGTCCACCTGGGGAGGGGCTTCAAGGAGGCTGATTTTGTGCTTGGGCCAGGACCCCGCCCCCGCCCCCAGAGGTCAGGCTAAGCACCGGAGAGGCATTAGACACCCGCCCATGTCAGCCGCTCCACGCTGTCTTTTCCCCTCATTTACCAAAGCGAATGCAAACTTCCTTCGATAAATCAACATTTGCTTGATACTTTCAGAGATGGAGGACCCCTCGGGCTGGGCCCAGCTTCAGAGTTGAGCTCGTTGGAGACCCGCACAGCTCGGTGTTGA